GGGGGGGGGGGGGGGGGCGGGGAATTCCCTGGAAGGGGCACCGCCCACCTCAGAACCACAGGGCTCATGGAGGGCTTCCAGGTGCTGGGACCAGTGAGAGGGAAGGGCTTCTGGGTGAGAGAGGGGCCCTCGGGGGTGTCAGCACTCACAAGCGCACGCTGGAGGCTGCCAGGAAGGCCAGGAGCAGGAGACCGGCCAGAGAAGACAGGATGGAGGTGATGACAATCATGTCGCCACTTTGCCGGCCTGGCCACGTGTCAATGGAGCCTGGGGACTTCCCTGAACACACAGTGGCTCTCAGAGGCTGCCCCTGGACCCCAGGGCGGTCACCTCCCCACCATGCTCACACCCAAGGCTGACTGCCTTACATCCCCAGCCAGCCTCCTGAGCCCATCCATCTGTCCCTCTCAGCTGGGCATATGTGCTCTGCCAGCCTGGACCACCAGCCATTGCTCCAGCCTCTGCCTTGGTCTCACCTTCTGGGCTGTTCCCACCAATGTGCCTGCCCACTGCCCCACCTGTGGCAGGAAGCGTGGCAGCAGAGCTCAGGATTGCCCTGCTCCTGGAGCCTGGCATTCAAGGCCCTCACATGACAAGACCCATCAACATCACCAGCCCGGCCTCTCAGCCCATTTCCCGGGCACCCACACGTGGGACACTCCAGCCTTTCACGTGCAGTTTCCTTATCCCAGGGCCCACGGCCCTGACCGACTCCAGCCTCCTTGCCCTGGCCCTTCTTCTCCACCTGGCAGTGCTGGGCACAGGGTTTGCTCCCTGAAGGAGGGGAAGACTGCTTCTGTCTATGACGGGGCTGGGGCCCGGGGCACCCGAGGGTTGGCAAACATTTTAAGGTGGACAGAGCCGGTGTCTCTGCTGATGGGGTCGACCCGGTGCCCCAGCCTCCAGCACGAGGTTCCGTATGGGGCGGGGGCCGGCTGAGCACGACCATGGTGGAGAGGGCAGCCAGTCCACACGGGGCAGACTAGAGCCGGAGCGCCCCTCCCCCAGCGCTACCTTGGCGGAGAGTGATGGGGTCGGACCACCTCGTCTGGGCCTGGGGTGAGCCCTTGGAGTCCATCAGGAGGAACTTCACCCTGGGAAGAGGAGGAAGGGTGAGGCTCCGAGCCTCGACTGCCCTGGGCGAGGCACCCACCTTGGCCAGGCCCCAGGCAGCTGTTGCTGGCTGGCCAGGCAGTGGGCCTTTCCATGTATAGGGGAGGGTGGGGCCCATCAGCACCGGCCAAAGCCTGGCCCTGCTCTAAGGACCCCCGGAGACCTCTCTGGCCACAGTGACCTGTGCCAGCAGCCCCAAACCATCTGAACCGTCGCTCTCCAGACACTCTATCTGGTTTAGGTGGCCCCGATTACTAAGTGTCACATGCAGGGTGCCTCAGCGGGTCGCACGGGGCTGGGGGGCCCCGGCCTCCCAGAGAACTGCTGGCTGTGAGGAGTCTGTGAGGCCTTGGAAGGCCCTCCCCATAAGAGCGGGCACCCCAGGCAAAGGCCAGGGAGGGAGGGCTGTGATCAGGGCGCACTCGGAGCCCAGGATCACGGGAGGGGGCAGGCTGAGCTCGGGGGTCACCAGGAGCCGTGCGAAGTCTCGGTTGTATCTTTGTCCGTGGGTGGGGGGCGGAGCTCTGGAAGGTTTCCGAGCCGCGAGGAAAGCAGGCAGGCTGGCACTGACGAGATGGCTCCGGGGGCCGCTAGGGATGCGGCGGCAGGTATAACTGGAGGCCGCGCCAGGGAGTGGCCACGGGGAGGGGGAGGGGGACCTGGCCGGGCTGGGTGAGAGGGCGAGGGAGGCGTGGGTGGAGCCTACGCCCCGGCCCGCCTTGCCTGCGCCCCCTGCCGGTTCCCCCAGCCGCACTTGGTCTCCCTGAGGACCTCTGGCCTTGTCCCCTCGTCTGACACCTGCGCTCCCACCCCGGCTCCACCCTCAGCCCCAGGCTGTTTCTCACCAGATCTACCTGTGGGAGGGACGGTGGCCCCTGCAGCATTCCCCTCCCCCCTTGTGGGGCCTGCAGACTCCTCCCCAACCCCCCCCCCCCCCCCCCCCCCCCCCCCCCCCCCCCCCCCCCCCCCCCCCCCC